AACAATCTGAAGAGTACTGAAGGTGCTTTTGATGTATCAAACATATCTATAAATAATACAAAACAACTTTCTGCATGGCATGAATATGCATGTGGTTGTAATCAAGCAACAACGTGTATCATTATCTATCGTCGTTGCGTTATTAGAAATCATATATATCATTCTATTAATTATCTTAAACGTCAATCAACTATCAGCTATTTCGTGCAATACGCCGACGATGATCGTAATTTATATTTCGGATCAGTCGAGTATTTTTTCACTTTCAAAAATTCAACTTTTGCACTCATCAATAATTATCCTATTCAAAAACCGTTTTCCGATCTTTTTGCATCTTCTTCTTCTTATCATTTATTATTATCTAAATGCATTAATTCTTACTTTTATATACTTGAAGAAAATTGTTCATCATGTCATCACGTGCCGATGCAGAAAATATTGAACTTATGTGTTGTTTTTGAAAAAGACAATTATATTATTGTGACACCTATTTCAGAAGCTTATGAACATGATTAAACCAGGAATATATTTGATTCCATATTTATTCATTAATGATGAATCTCATAAAGCTTTTTTTTTATTCCTTTATTCAAAAATATCCTATTTTTGTAGATCAATCGAAAATCTACATGCATCTGTTCTAAGCATCCATGGCAAATAAAAGCATTCTGGAGGACCCCATGTAAAATCGATATTGCAGTTACGTAACTCGAAAGAAATTGGATCCCAAATTATGATAAATTTTATTTATGTATGATTTTTTTTCTTGAAAACTTCTCGATTTATGTATAAAATAGATTTATACACATATGTTCTTTATAAATAGTGACTGAATCAGATAGAAACTTCACAGAAACGCACAGTTTTGTTGGAGAATGTTTCAGATATATTTTTGTTTATCATGAACGTTTCCTCAGATACTAATGTAGGTGGGCGTAAGCGTGTGCCACGTGTTGTGTTTACACCAACACAAAATGTATCGAATAGAATCTCATATTACTATCTTGTATTCTTCAATGAAACTGAATCATATCAAATTGTTGCACGAAGTAGCATCAAAAAGATTGATGATCAAGGTTCAGTAACGCTCGCAATTCGTAACAAATTGTTGAAGGGACAAATTATTCTTTCTGGTATTTTTATTTTTGATCATTTAGTTAAATCTCTTTTATTCTCTGTTCCTAGGTTCTCTTGACGTCTGCGAAAAGGAACTCAGTCGAAGGACGCGCTTGTCGCAACAGGATATCAATAACAGTAAACTTCTTTTCACATTCTCTTATATTACTTTTTGATGCTGTAGACGAAATCGATACAGGTGAAGTTGATGATGAAGAAGATAATTCTGCAATGATGATTGCAACACAACAGCCGATAACAACACAGTCTCGTTTTCAGACTGCTTCATCGATTACATTCGATTCGCAATCATCTCGTACGTATTTTAAAATGAAATATTGGTTGATATTGTTTTTTAACCGGATAAATGCTAACTTTTCAGCAGAGAGCGATGAAGTAGAAAAGGAAAATTACGACTCGGACAGTTATATTTTTGATTACCGTTGGAATTCAGCAGCAAAAAATGGTGTAAATAAAAGAAAATCTAAATCTAATTCCATAAATCAAAAACGAAAACGAATGGATAATAAAAGTTAGTCTTATATTGTAAATTTTCTGTTCTTACCAAGTCTTTTCTAACAGGTGATACTCATCTACAAACTAGTAAAGTCGATACTCAGTCGGAAATAACGCTTTCTGGTAATTTTTATTACTATCATCAATATTGATGATCATCCTTTCATGCTTAATAGGAGTTTCGATCTTGAATGTTCTTGAAAATAAATTTACAGCTTTGGAATCAAAACTTCAAACTATCAACAATAAAAATGATCAAAAAATGATACAACTAACAAAGAAAATCGATTACTTAACAGCATCGTCTATTACGGTTG